GGTCCTCGCAATCGTAGATCGCGTCGTCCGCGATGTCGACGTCGCCGTCGACGCTGGCGAGAGATCACCCTGTTCTCCTCTCTGCGACGGGTGGGTCGTCAAGTAGGTGCACCAGGGGCGCAGGCGCTGGGCCCTCGGACGACGTCGCCCCGCAGGTGGGAAGAATCCGCATCGCAAAGCCAAAACCGCGTGCTGTGGACGGCGGGGCACCATGCTGACACATGCGCTGCACGAGGAAGGCAATGCAGAAAACCGTTCACCGTGTGAGATGAGTCTGTAGCAGGCTGGATCGGAGAAATGGGACGCTTCGGAAACGCACGGGAGAGAGGAGTGCACGACGGAAGGATCTGATTCTCAATATTCGGTCTCGGATTGCGTCTCCCAGAAGCCAGTCAATATGCTTTCCACCTTCCCAACCCCTCTTTTTACCAAATAAGGCGGGATTTTGCCGTCTGCGTGAATTGTAATAGGGATTTGGCGTTCCCGTTAAACTTCGTCAAACCGCCCGCGGGGATGAGTTCACGTAGGAACCAGCGGCACTGACCACCGAGGTTCTCCTGAGAATCCCGAATCACTGCAATATCCAAGGCAGCTCGCTTCTCAGTCGAGACAACCTGTTGCCGATTGAAACAGTCGCATACATAGTTGGCGCGGGTCATAATAAGGATGTCCAGGTCGGGATGTTGCTCCAAGATAGTCGGCACCCGGGTCCCCCCATTCATAGCATGTTGATCTCGAAGTTCGCATCGGCAAGATTTGCCCACTCGGCCTCTGCCAAGCCTGCGGGCATAGCATGTGCCTTGACCGCCAGAGTAGAGCTCCCAGAACGCTCAGTCTGGTGGGGATGCCAGGTGGGACTGCTGACATCAGCTTCCTGCCCCACCAGGAGATCTCCCTCTCTCTCTCTCTCTCTGTCCGCGGCACAGATCACGTTGCCTGTCCTGGAGCGGCTCTGTCCCGCGCACCTGAGGTCCAGTCCTGAGTTGCATGAAGCAACCCGACGAAGACAAGGGAACGGCACATATTTGATGGCGGTAGTGGCGCTGGCGTCCGTGAGGCGCCGCAGTGCAGCATGTGTCTCGATAGGGTCTTCCACCTTGGAGTTGGGCAAGAGTGCTGCACAAGAGACATGAGCCTCCCAAGCCGTTGGGCATGCCCTCTCGGCACGTCCAAATGAGTTCCCCAGTCAAGCCGCGCAAGGCGGGTACCTCCTCTGGCGCGGCGGGTAGTGCGGGGTTCTTGCCGCGCCCCCGTGGGGGACAGATAGGGCGGGCTCGTTCTGCACGATAGCGCGCCATGGAGATGGTGAAATCGTGTTTTCTCCTGCGTTTTCGCAGCGTGCGCCCGCCGCACTCAGTAGCGCCCTCCACGAAACCAAACCATTTTCCGAATTGGAACCGCTTCCGCAGGCGAGAAATGGCATCGGCAAAACAATCTCAAATACCGCACCCCAACAAATCATCTGTTTCGATGACAACGAGACCCGGAAATTGCCCAGGGCAGACATCGAGAGCCCCTTGCATGAACATGGCGCAGGGTGCTGGAGGATGGGCACTCCCTGAAAACTGTCAGAAGTCTCCTGCACCAGACAAGAGGGCCGGCAAATAATCCGTAAACTTATGTCAGGAGTTTAGTCGCCAACAATTTGTTGGGAGGGCGAAGCGGAATTCTTCCCGCTGGCTTCGAAGTCCTTGATCGGAAGCAGACTTCACGTCACCCGCGCAAGCTCTTGCTTGGATGCAGGACAAACATTGCAGAGACAGAGGCACGTCTGATGTGGAAAGCGCAAGCACGGTGCGCTTCAAGGCGGCGAAGTCGGGCCATGGAATCCTTGAATGACCCATCGCGATTTAGCATCGCAGTTTAGCGATCCGCTCATTTGTCTGTAGATTTCTCGTGCCACCGAAAAGGAATAATTCGTTTCGGAAATTCGCGGTAGATCTCTGCAGCAGCCGCGTCCCGATGGACGCGCATTGCTTGGGTGCCGTCAGGCCCGGCAGCGCAAATATCAGACCATTATGTATGACGGCTGCCGGTAGAAGCAAGACACCACTGTGTAAGATGGTTAAGTGACGGATTGATGCCAATCCTACAATCAGCCCGTATTTTCTCGATAAAGAATGTCTGGGAGGTGTAAAGGACGGCCGCTTCTGATTGACAGGCTGTGTAGATCCTTTCCAGAACGGGAATCTCGTGCGCCCCCGACAAATCATCGGTTACCTGAACATGATGACTGCTGTCTACGTAGTAAGTAACCAGGTCGCCCGAGGAATCGGCAGAAAGAAAATCGTGAAATGCAGCCGTAGTCGATGCCGGCGGCGGTTGACAGGACGACGGAGTAGCGGGCCAAGGCGCACTCGAACCTCGAGCGGTAGCGCTGGGGCCCCCCCCCGGCGCCCCCGCTAGAGAAGGTTGCCTCGATCCTGGCCCACTCTGCGGTTCACCGGAGAAAGCAGTGTCTAACCGAAGTCGAACTTGTCGAAAGTCCCGCGCGCCCGCCGCCCGTGGCGCTACACCGAGCACGAGATCAGTATAGAGAGGGCGCGCCCTTCCGCTTTCGCCACGTGGGAATACGACTTTATACTATGGGCAAGCCGATTGCCAATCCCAGCCAGGCCCCAGGCCCACCATCCTGGCCAACCTCTCCGCATTCCTCCCTCTCGCTACCTCTACGCTTCCCCTGCGCCCTCCTCGCCCTCATGACCA